TCTTCCTCCAATCCTGATGCCACGTTTTTCTTCATAGAACCCAGCTTCTCGTATTATTTGCTCAGCATACAGGTTGAATAAGTATGGTGAAAGAATACATAGTAATAGCCAAATACTTATAATGATCACTGTATTTTTTCTTTCCTTTTAGGTCCACCTCATTCGTTTAACCGAGATGAGGCAATAATCATTGTTTTAGCAACAGTGTCTGCATTTGCTGTTTTGATCGTTGCCTCATGCTTTGGATACAGGATGCTGACAGGTAAAAAAAAATCTCAATTTTTGTCATACTACTTATGTGACACGTCATTTAATCAGAATTTTTTTTTAAAGCTGTGTGTTTAGTAGCTTCCGTTTCTCTCATTAAAAAAAAAAAATATGAAAATGTTTCATACATACACAGAGTACCTATCACTAATTATAATAGTTATCATATATGGACACTATTGCTTCATCTATAGCCACACTTTTGCTATACCCTCTTTATACCACTGCATTATTTTGAATCATATCAGAAGTACCATAATATATATCTATATGTCATTCAGTATTATCTCTAAAATGTAAGGACTTTAAAAATTTTATTATCACAGTGCCATTTTTGCATCTTAAAAAATGGCAATAATAATTCAATATCACAAATGTTCACTCAGTTCTAGGTTGAAAGTTACTTTAGGAAATCAATACTCATTATTTTTAATAATTTTAATAAATCTCCTCTAAAACTTCCTCATGTGGTGCTGAAGGATAAGCACTTAACTACTAATCATAAGGTTAGCAGTTCAAACCCACCAGTCACTCCTCAGAAACCTTTTATAGGGTCACTATGAGTCAGAACTTACTGGATGACAATAATAACATAACAGTAACAACATTAAATTTCTAAGCTGGGTCGGTTGAGGAACCATCTCATTTAGTAAATACATTTACTCCCATTAACATTACATATGTCTTGCTGCCAGCCCTTTTGTAACTCTTTGTTTAAAAAATTATAGTAAAAAGTACAATCAAGATCATCATTTAAGAATATCATATATTAGTGACTTTATTTCCTCTTTCTATAGGAGACCGTAAACAAGGTCTTCACAGTATGAACATGATGGAGGCAGCAGCATCAGAACCCTCTCTTGACCTAGATAATCTGAAACTGTTGGAGGTAAGGTTGCTATTAAATTATGGACTTTTTTTGCTACTCTTATAGTGCATCTGGGACAGTAATTTTACTTACTCATGAATTCACTCTTTCTTATATTTAAACATTAACTGAGTTTCATTTTTATGCTAAGTCCTGTTCTAGATACTAGAAATATAAGTGAAAAATACAACTATCCCACTTAGGGTTTACATTCTACTGGGAAGGAGTCTAAACACAGTGAACATATAATTTAATGTAGTAGTAAATGCTATGAAGAAAAAAAGTGGATAAGGAGATAAAGTGATGGAAAAGATAGAGAAATGATAGAAAGGTTATCAGAAAAGGGCTTACCAAGGAGGTGATTTTTGAGTAGAGATTTGAACAGACTATGTGAATACAGATATGAAATTCTGAGGATTATGCTAGGCAAACAATTCATAGAGGCTGCCAAATAAATGACAACAACAACAATTTTGCATATGGAGTCCTGGTGTGGCGCTGAGGGTTAATGCAACAGATTGAAAGGCCATTTAAAAACTACAAGGTTGGTAGTTTAAGCTTACCAGCTGCTCCTAGGAAACACTATACAGGGTCACTATGGATCGGAACCAACTGAACAGCACTTAATAGCAACAACTGTGTTATAACTATATATGTATACTACAAGGGAACACTAGGGACATAGTGGTTAAATACTTGACTACCAGCTGCTCAGCTGGAGAAAGATGAGGCTTTCTACTCCCGTAAGGATTTATACCCTTGGAAACCCTGTACAGGGTCGCTATGGGTCGGAATCGACTTGATGGCACTTAACAACAACAATAAAAACAACTACCAAAAGGTTGGTGGTTCAAACACACCAGCAGCTCAATAGGAAAAAGATGTGGCGGTATAATTCCATAAAGTCTTAGAAACCTAACAAGACAGTTCTACTCTATCCTATAGGGTTGTTCTGAGTCCTAGCAGACCCAATGGCAAGGTATTTTTATTAATATAGAAGTTATTTTTCATTTCTCAATATCTTGGAAATTATTATGGTTATTTTTATGATCATTATTAGGAATGGCTCTATAACTGTGATCTCCAAGCTAGTGATTAACTAATAAATATATATTTGACTATGTAAATATATTATGCCTGGGAAAAAAACATAAAAAAGTCAAAAGCCAAATTTGGGAAATATATTTCAATACATATACAATTAATGAAGAACTGTTTGTTATAAATTAGTGTGAAAGAAACAACTCACAGAAAAATAAACAAAAGATATGAACTGACAATTCACAAAATAAGTATGGCCAATAAATATACAATAAAATGTCCAACTTGCTAGATAGACCTGCATACTAATTAAAATGACAAGATTTTATCCAGGATTGAGTGAAAGAAACAATCCTAACCATTACTGATTTGGTAGAACCTTTTGAAAGTACAGTCTGTTGGCATGTTAAATTTTGACCTAATAATAATGAATGAAATATAGCAAACATGCTTAAATAAGTTATGGTAAATTCAAAATTAGTCTCAATAAAAAGCAAGAGAAATCCCAAGAAGCCAAAAACAGAAAATAGTTTTCATTTTGCTAATTGGTTATGTACTGAGTAATTTTGGATTATATCCTGGACATTATGAATTATATGTGGACATCTTGAATTCTGTTGTTTTCCTCTGAAATGTGCATATTTTTGTCTCTTGGGTAGAAACTCAAATCTCAGAAACTCATGTCTTTAGCTGCAATTTGTCACATACATTCATTTAGTTTCTGACTCCTTTCCTGGATTATCTTCTCACCTTTCAACAGTTGTAGTTGCTTCAAATTCTGTCCTCTGGTTCCCTGGGACAGAAGGACTGTGGATTTTTATTGAAATTTTACCTCCCCTGCATAGTGCTGATTTCATCCTACCCTCAGACTAAAAGACACCAAAATGAGTAGCTTTATAACATGCCATTCATTACCGTTTCCTAAATGTTGACTTCCCTTAGAATCTACCTTCTTGTTTTTTTCATTCTCCATTGCTTTTATATAATTTTTGCTGTTTTCAGTTGTTTATAGTTTATAAATCTGTTCTGTGAAAGAGCTGGGTCTGTTAAGAACTACATTAGCCATACTAGAAGTAGACTTTATTGGTATTTTGGTAATGGAAAACTTTAAGCTATAAGCAAAAGAGAGTTATAACATACCATATGGATCTGTGCTTCATTATTTAGTACACTTGACTATTCAAATATGATACTAATTAATAACTGTCTTCAAAAATATTTACAGCTAATTGGCCGGGGTAGATATGGAGCAGTGTATAAAGGTTCCTTGGATGAGCGTCCAGTTGCTGTAAAAGTGTTTTCCTTTGCGAATCGTCAGAATTTTATCAATGAGAAGAACATTTACAGAGTGCCTTTGATGGAACATGACAACATTGCTCGCTTTATAGTTGGAGATGAGAGAGTCACTGCTGATGGACGCATGGAGTATCTGCTTGTGATGGAGTATTATCCCAATGTAAGTTCTTCTTAAAAAAATAGGTTGACATTTATATTAGTTGTCAATTCTCATTGACATAAGGATCTCACTCTAGAATGTGACTCAACTACAATGCTAATTTTACGGTTTAGTTTAGCTCTCATTTTTTTTCTAGTAGCAAGACTTTTTCAGTGAAGGAAGCATGGTTTAACTGACATTCATCCTAATGTAAGATGTTTATCTCAACACAGACTGGTAATAAACATTTTGTGGACAAATATATTGAGTAGCATGGATTCCTTGTGTGGCGATGTAGGCCAATGCATCAGACTGCAAAGTTGTTTGAACTGCAAGGTTGGTGGTTCAAACTCACCAGCTGCTCCTTGGAAACCCTATACTGGGTTGCTATGGGTCAGAATCGACTCAATGGCACTTAACAACAACAACAATATTGAGTAACACTAATATATATTAACAGATATATATTAACAAAGCCAGCTTCTTTTTTTTTTTTTGTAAACCATAAACAATATGATTTGTAATTGTACTGATAGTAAATACTATTTTTCTATCTTATTTTAATAGATTTCAAAAACTTTTTAAAAAAGAAATAACCATTCATAAATTTTACTATTGGAGACTTAATGAATGATATTTAAATTCTCTTTTATGTTTTCTTCCTCTTCTCTCTAACCACAAAAGTGTCTTAATATCCTTTTTGAAATTCTGAAACATAGTTAATTCATCAGCTCTTCACAGAATTGTATTGTTTTGTGTCACTGAGTCGGTTCTGACTCATAGCAACCCTGTAAGTGTTTCTGAGGAGTTGCTGGTGGGTTTGAATTGTCAGACTTAAGGAGAGCTGTTCAGTGCTTATCCTACAATGCCACACCAGGATTCTTAGCCTGTGCAAATTCTTTATGTAAGACCGTTAACTTACTACATTGTGTTTAAATTTACCCCACTTTCTGTGTGTGTTTATCATTTCCTTTATATAGGGCTCTCTGTGCAAGTATTTGAGTCTCCATACAAGTGATTGGGTAAGCTCTTGCCGACTAGCTCATTCTGTAACCAGAGGACTGGCTTATCTTCACACAGAATTACCACGAGGAGGTAAGACAATAAGTAGAAGAGGAATGACTCTCATATAGAATCAGAATTCACACAGCGAAGTTTTAATCATATCTCCAAAGTAAAAGGATTTTTGAATATTATAACCAGTTCTTTTAAGGGTCTGGCATAAAAAAGCATATTTGAAATGGAAAAAGAAGAATAAGAAAAATAATTCAAAATTCAAGATGTCATGGATTCCTTTGAGAATTAGATTACATCTCTGAAATTTCCCTGTAAAAACATGCATATAGACATATTTAGAATATGGTATTTTTGTATTCTAGAGAGACGTGAAAGCACATGTATGACTCTCTTAGGTTAAGAACCTCTGACTTAGGCTATAGTTTGCTTTCCTTGCATTTATTGTGTTTATTTAAGTAAGCAACAATGCATTATTACTTCTTTAGCTTTAACATTAGCTTTAATATTGCATGGATTTTTATTCTGTGGGTTGCTCTTTAGTGTCAATCCTAAATGTATCCTGTTATAAGTCATTAGTTGTGCTCTGTTGGTTGGAATTTGGTTTTACCACATTTATCAGGAGGAAAAAAATAACAGTGACTTCAATAAGAAATGATTTTTTCTACCTTATGTAAGGATCTGAAAGGTAGACAGTCTAAGGGTTATTTTGGCATCAGGGCTTCAGACCTGATGACTATTCATTCTCTACCATTCTTTTTATATGGGTTCCATTTTGAAAGTGACTTCACTGTTCATTATGCTGTGTTGTAGTCAATAGGAAGAAGTAAAGGGAATTGTTCCCTTCTGCCTCCAGAAGCCCAACTCTTCTACTTACATTTTGTTGCTACACTCAACTGCAAAGCAGGCTAAGAATATAGGTAGTTTTTGTTTGGTTTTTAAATACTGGGTGTATTGCTGCCATAAACAGAATTGGCATCTGTTAATAAGTAGGAAGGGGAGAATGGATGGTGGGCAGTCAGTCGTGCCAGTATTTCAGACCAGTGTAATTGTGTTCTTGCTATAAGTCCTGTGTTACTCATCCTCAGTGCACATTTTTCCTAGTTTTAAAGAGCATCTTTTAAATACATTTGTTTTCTCACTTTGTTTCAAAATACACCTCCGATCACAGGCACCTCTAAATTAGTTTTGCTGTGAAAATTTTGTTTTCGTGCTTTTTTTTTTTAAGATTTTTATTATGATTTGAGTAAAAATTTACAGGCAGACCATCAGTTTTACATTCAACAAATCAAATACCTTTGTTTCATTACAATGATTATAATCCCCTCCATGTATCATCAGTTAACAGTATTTCTCTCTATTCGCTTAAGCTTTTTTTTTTTACAAAAAACAAAACAAAACAAAAACCACTCAGGCATATTATAATAATTAACACCTCCAAAGGGCACATTCTGCAAGTCTGACTCCTGGCCACCAGCTCTTAGTCCCTCTCTTCATAAATCTAGAGTCCTCAGCTCCCCCTTTCCATGTCCCCATCTCTATCTCCATATCTGGCGTCGCTGCTACTCTGGATAAGGTCCTACGTTCTGCTTGTGTTCTTTGCCCTTGATGGTTCTAGGGTCATCTGTTTCTGGACTGTAAGATTAACCACTCCCATGTTTTTGTTACAAAACTTCTACCTTTACAATTGTGACAGTCACAGTTAGTCATGATAACAGTTATTCACTATTGAATCATACAAATCTTATCCCTGTTTCTTTTCACCAGACCCATTTAGACAAGATGAAAACTATTCAATGGGGACTCTTTCTCGCCACCCCC